ATATAATTGTAGTGATTACAACTACACTCCATTGCAAAGGGTTCAACTGCGTACGTGACTTGAAAAACCTTATCCATGACAGACACCTTGACCTTGTACACACGCTCAATTTCCTATCGCTCTGTCTCCAACCTTATGCAACATGCCGACTTTTCAACCTCGTCTCTGAATAAGAAGAATGCGTTATTTGTGAAAACCGCCGCTCCACTCTTCTGAAGTGAGACTAAGACATTGCTTGTGATGGTTCGTTCTCGATGAATGGATTCAAAATCAACATGACGCTCATTCTCCCTCATATCCCTAGTCCAACGATCAAAGTGAATAAAGAACTCAAGGAGATTTTTATCCTTCTCGATATAATTGGCAAGTTGAGAGTTCAGTCCTTCACATCTTGATGTTGTACTCAAGCCTGCGAAGAACTTCGAACGCAAATATGCATACCCCCATTCATGTCTTTGCTCAAATAAATTGGAGACCCAATTGTTGTGCTAAAGGGAGCATTCCTCAACCACTGTTTTCCATTTTTCTTCGAATTCTGAAGGTTCCCAATCAGCTGACACAAAATGCTTCTATCGGGGCAAAAAAGTAGGATGATTCTTCACATTTCTGGTTATAGTCTTGTCTATATTCCAGGAACATAGACGATGTGTTGCATCGGGAAATACTTTATGAATAGCATTACGCATTGCTCTATCCCCATCTGTAATAACAGTCTTGGGATCTACACCGCCTAGCCTTCTCTTCAAAGCTCCCAACACCCAAACATAATTTTCCTCTCTCTCGTTAGCCAAGAAAGCACATGCAAATACGCAAGTTTGCGAATGGTGGTTGACACCTAAAAAAGTTCAAACAAAGTTAGATTATGCAAACTTCTAGGGTTATTTTAGCATGCTCGGGATAATTCTATGTGTGAAGGAAAAGTACCTGAAAAAATCACGAGAGGCATCTGGTAAATGTTCCTTTTGTAAGTAGCATCGAATGATAGTAATTCTCCAAAGCATGCATAATCAGCAACAGAAATACTATCGGCCCAGAAAATGTTAATAAGCCGGTCGTCGTCATCCTTCTTTAGTTCAATAACGAAATGCTCGTCCGCGCTGCATTTAGCTTGCAGGTAGGCTAGGGCTGTTGCGGCATCACCTTCACTGATTTGTTCTTTCCTCTCTTTGTCCACATAATTATATGCATCCTTCCTCGTGTACCCCAAATTGTCGTAGCCTCCTGCTTCTGATACGGCCAGATTCACAATTTGAGAAGTTTTCATACCTGCAGCTCTTCTAAAATTTATCGCTGCTTTGACTGCATCACTCATACGACGTTTCCCTTTCATGTAGTGTCTATATTCTCTGGGGATCGTTTCATGTGTGTGTACATCATCAAACTGGTGCACATACCACTTCCCATCGACATTGTCTTGTTTAACACGCATCTTGGCTCTGCAGTTAAATCTGGTCTCCCCTCTTGCTTCTCTCTTTCGTTCTGTGCTCTTCACGCGCCTCTTTCCCTCGCCAGAGCATACATAGTCACGCCATATCATAACTTTGTTCTTATCACGACCAATGTCTGATTTTCTGATGTCGAAGCCTTTGACTAACCCGTAGTCCATGTAGAAATCATAGGCTTCTTCTGTATCATCGAACTTCATTTTTTTAATATCTTCAGGTTGTAGAAATATGAGATCGGCAACATTATCATCCTGGGTGGTGTCACTGGCTCCGGCACCAGCGTTTTCTTGGACTTCCTCCGACGTCAATACTAGGACTTCCTCCGACGTCAATGGTGAGTCTGCCGCCGACGTCATTGTCACTGCTGGAAATTTTGGGGAACCAAGGACGTAGATTACAAAACCCTACTGGGAATGATGGCCGAATTAATGCTTCAATGGGCCACTTAATAATTATCCCCATTAATAACACGATTTGTGATATCTTATATTTTTGGTAGGAACGAGTTGAACTTTCTGTTCTTTATCTTAGTGATTTCTTTACCATTTTCACAAATAACGAAAATATTTAAAATGAAAAACCTTTCTTAGTAAAGCCAAACGCCAGCTGACTCTAGCTGTGTACTACGTGTATGGGGAAGGATCAAATATTAATATGAGCGAATATTTACTAATAGCACTCAATTCTTTATTCGATCGAAAAAAGTATATTTTTAATTTTAGGTTTAATAACTACCCATGTTTATCCCAAGATCATGTACCTTAGACTAAACCCTAACTATTTTTCCGCGGGAAAAATATGGCGCCACAATTTATCCTAACCTTGTATATATAATTAACCTTCATCGGTAGAGCAGTGGTTCCATACCCTTCTTTGCCGCGATTTTGAGTACAGAGTAAAGCTTAGATTAGAGGCACAACATGGAAAATAGGAGACTTACTCGCTCTTCGTCCAAGCTTGTGGTATGTATAATAGCTCTTTTTACCATTGAAATTCATTCTAGTTAATTTATTAATCGCAGGTTCACTATCATTGTAGGAGACAGCCGAATTTGTGACTCCAACAAAGAAACCAAGGATACCCAAATGTGTAAGCACTCCACCCACTCCTGCTTCAGTCATCGTTTTTATTTCGGACGATGAATCTGACTCTGAGGTCACACCAAAGAAGCCAAATGGAAAAAGTATTTGTCTACCTTCTGTTGACAAGGTAATAAAGGTGTCATGTTTGCCATTGAAGTGTTCTTTGCCGTTATTCCGTCATAACGAATGCATTTCAACTCGTGTTTATTTGTGGCCCCTATTCCAGGTTGTTTTGAAGTTTAAGCTACCTACCGCTATGGAATACGATGATGAGCAAATCCAGCTTGCTCACTATATATTTTTAGCCCATCTGCCACCTAACAAAGTATTGGTCAAAACCTCTAACAACTCTTGTACGAGGAAGTCATTGTGGTCCTTAAGCCCTCGCTCATTCGTAGATGCTGAAGTAATCAACGGAACTCCAAAATTTTGTTTTGTTTGTCCACTATCAATGCTTTCTACGTAGAATTATTTTATAACAACTCGATAGTATCATGAAGTGTTTTTTGTCCATGTTATATTAGGTTATAACAGCGATGGCCTGCCACTTGACTCTAGAAGAGTTGTGGACAAATTCCAAGGACAGAAAAGGAGTGTGCTATCTGCCTGCTGAACTACAGGTTGTGGTCCGATTATACTTAATGACAATTTCCTCTCACCAAATAAATTACAACACATGTTTTTTTAACGTGAATCATATTGTGTTGACAAAATTTCAATTGTGCAACTACCACATGGGCAGGAACTAGTGATTTCATGTGGAATAACACCCAAGATGGCATTAGACCTATACCAATCAAAATTCCTTAGTCGAACCAATATGGTGAACAAGGTAAACTGTTCGTCTTAATAAGTATTACATGGTTTGCAGTTTATTTTTTTAATATGTGTTGACAATTTCCGCATATGTAGGTGTGTGTTCCGATGAGAGATAATGCCCATTGGTACTTGGCTGTCATTAAGTTGGACAAGGAAGAAGTCCATATCTTGGATCCACAACCAAATGAAGACCGCAATTCCTTTCGACTACAATCTGTTCAAACAATGGTAAATTTGTGACATTGTGCCGTTATAACGCAAAAAAATGTAAATAACTCTTTCTAAGTACAAACGTTTCTTAATTTGTACAGATGAGCTTTATGCAAGCCTTGTGGAAGATTCTCTATCGTTAACAAGGATTGTCGCCACCAAGGATTGCGGAGTTTGCGTACCCAACTCCTTCAAAGGATCAAGAACAACTTAATCGGTAAGTATGCCCATTTTGTGATATTAAACGACGACTTATCAACTTGGTTCTTATCATGCAATGCTTTTATTTTATGTAGGTCTGACAGTGGAGTTTGGGTATGCATGTGGATCTTTGGCGCAAGCTGGGACTCCTCTTATATTTGGGTAAAGACAATTCTAATTCGCATATTAGAAAACCACAATTGATTGTTATTTTTGAATCATGCAGTAAGCACCATGTTTGTTGATGTTGATAGCCATGCACTCAAGTGAGGAGGATGCAGATCGCTTTGTACCTTGTTCGAGAGCCCATGAACTACATAAGGCATATGGTGCTCACGGAAGCAAGAAGAGTTGCACCTCAAGTTGAAGCTGCAGTGGAAGAGTACAAGAAAACCCATGAAAAGAGGAAAAAGGAAAGAGAAGAGCACAAGGAAACCCAGTCAACGAGCCCAAGAACAACCTGATTTTGCGTTTTAGTTTTCAAGATGATGGACAACAGTTATGTTTTTTTTTTCTCAGGATGATGGACAACCGTTTTTTATTTGGTTCGGTGAATGCTTATTATTTTTGGTTTTTATATTTGGTTTTTGGTTTGGTTTGGTGAATGGTTTTAATATTTGGTTTTTGGTTTGGTGAATGCTTTGTATATTTGGTTTTTGGTATTGTGAATGCTTGCTATATTTGGTTTTTGGTATTGTGAATGCTTTCTATATTTGGTTTGGTTTGGTTTGTTTTTTCGTGGAAATGGCAAAGGGACTTCACCAATATTCCAGCTTCCAACTTGTGAGTGAGGTTGCTTCTGTTGAAGGCTTCAAGCCATTGTATCTTGTAGAGAGGTTTAATTGGGATCATGTATAGTTAAACTGATTGGCTCCCAATCGTATAATTAAATTTGCATTCATGTATAGGTAACCCAAAAGGTAAAACTGATTGGCTCCCAATCGTATAATTAAATTTGCATTCATGTATAGGTAACCCAAAAGGTAAAACTGATTGGCTCCCAATCAGTATAAATAATGACCAAACCCAGTACAAGGAAGATAGAAAATTCTTATGTAATTAATTTAATGTTCCTAGGATATGGAAAGGCTTCCATGTAAAGGATTGAAAGTAGTGATTTACATTGACGAGGAGAGTGGCTTAAGTACCAACTCTTGAACAGATTAAAGCTACAAAGTAGGAGCCACTAACCCACTAACTAAAACTTATGACGTTACTAACTAATAATAATAAAATTAATTATTTACAGAAATTGAATTTATGCACAGCCCTTATCATTCCATTCCTTGAATTTCCACCAACGATGTTTTCACTCCCCTTTTAGTCAGAGAATTCATTGTAGTAATAAATACAATAAAAAGGCATACATAATTAATGGATTCTTTATTGTGTATAATTAAAAGGATAGGACTTTGCTATGGTGACATGCACTTTTCGGTCGACCTCATATAGGATCAGGTCGACCTAATCAGTTGTTTCAGTGTAAAAACAGTTTCATGGTGCCAACTTTGGAGATTCATATCTTACAATTGGCTAGATGGAAATTGGAGATTAAAGGCTTGTTTTGAAGCTGAAGTGTCCATCTACACATTAAAGTACTTGGGAGCTCAATAGAAAGTCCAGAAGACCTTTTTTGAATCTGACCAAAAGGCTATGCCAAAATTGGGAAACTGTCTGAAAATGGCTAAGTCTGGCAACGTGTTTGTCAAGCCTACTTTGGAGCTCAATTTGAGAATCATGGATGCGAGTCAAGTCCAGGGGCCTCTACCACGTTAAATTAAGTATTTTTTTATACAAAGGCAAGGGATTGGATGAAAGATTCAATATCTTTAAGGCTTCAAACAAAAGGCTCAAAGTTGCTACGAAGGCTGTTTTTCTGGCAGCTTGCTTGTGCTCAAAGTCTGCCAAAAAAACAGCCTTCGTAGCAACTTCGACCCTTTTGTTTGAAGCCTTAAAGATATCCAATCTTTCATCCAATTCCTTGAATTTGTATAAAAACATACCTAATTTAACGTGGTAGAGGCTCCTGGACTCGACTCGCATTCATGCTTCTTGAATTGAGCTCAAAAATAGACTTCACAAACACGTTTCCAGACTTAGCCATTTCTAGGCAGTTTCCCAGTTTTGGCATAGCCTTTTGATGAGGTTCAAAAATGGTCTTCTGGACTTCCTATCGAGCTATCAATCACTTCAATATGTAGAGGGACACTCCAGCTTCAAAACAAGTCATTAGTCTTTAATTTCCATCTAGCCAATTGTATGATATGAATATCCAAAGTAAGCACCGTGAACTGTTTTTACACTGAAACCACATATTAGGTCGACCGGATCCTATATGAGGTCGACCGAATCCTAAATGAGGTCGACCGGATCCTATATGAGGTCGACCGAATTCTAAATGAGGTCGACCTAATCCTAGCTGAGGTCGACCGGAAAGTGCAAGTCACCGTGACATGCATGTCACCGTAGGCACACCCAAAAGGATATTTTACTATAAACGAAGCATGATAGATCCACAGGGGGATAAAAGAAGCATGAGTCTTGATGAAAAAGGGGAAAAATCACCATAGATAAAAAATCATTATAATCAACCTAATTGGAACTGCTTAGAACAAAAGCGGATTAAAATCTCCCCCAATGAAATTCATTTGCAATTTCATAGGTAGTCCCTACTTCCACTTCTATAATTTTGAGAAAACATTGCAATTTCATCAATAGTCCCCACTCGTGGGCCAATTTCAATTGCAACCAAATTTGCACCCTTGCAATAGCTTCTCACATCATAGCAAGTGTAGGATGCAATTGCACCTCCTTGCTTAGGGATGACCATTACTGCATCTCGTCACCTGTCTTAGGGAAATTAGCCATGGCAAATTCACAAAATACTGCATGCATAGAAAAATATTTGTCTGGATAATTAAAAAAATGGGAGACTTTCCTAGTCAGATGATGTACTGGCTCCCCTCAGTACCTGACAGTTTTGAGTGCTGGAGAAAAAGACTGGGAAAAAAAACAACAACGAAGCCTTACAGTAAACTTCTTAACAAAACACATCCAATGCTGGCCCCTTCACTGCTCCACCCCGCCCTGCACTGCTCCACCCCGCCCTGCATCAATCGACTCTCATGTAAGCCGAGGACGTTTGCTTGAGGATGCCTCAGGGGTCTCTTCATGCTCCGTATGCCGAAGGTCATAAAAAGTATTGGTCACTTCGACGATACGGTAGACTGGCAAATAGGCGGAATGGTCCTCCCTAGCATAAACCCCCATATCCATCCCAACCCTTCCAAGAAAGGTGGTCAAGAAGGTGGCATATGGAAAGGCAGTGTACCAGTTTTCCCCTTTAGGAGCAGCCTCAACCATGTTCACGCACATGAGAGATGCGAGGTTAAGAGGAACACCTCTTTGAGCTTGCACAAGGATAAACAGGTCAAGTTTACAAATTATCGAATGACCACTGTACCTTGGCATGAAGCAGTTGACGATCATCCAATGGAGGAATCGAAGAGGATCTGGGAGGAAAGAAGCCTGGATGCGCCCATTCGTCAGTCTCGCCAGTTCAACTTCAAACTCAAAATCGTACAGCCGAAGATCGCTTCTGCTATCAATGTGGTGTCCTGCGGCGGGGAGATCGAGGATCTCAGCAAACTGATGAGGCTGGAAGCAGGCTCTATAACCCAGGAAGACCGACACGAGATGAGAATCGGAGGGACCAGACAGCTCTAAATTGTGGTAGAACTTCCTCACCACATGCGGGCAGTAACTGGTGCTTCCTCGACTCCGGAGATCAAAGAACTTTTCCCAGCCAAGATTTTTAATTAACTGCTTCACTTCTTGAGGGAAAGGGGACAGGTGGATGAACTCGTACTCGGCCACAATAGATGTCTTGCTCGTGAATGAAAGATAGTCCGCGAGACTTGGGGTGGATCGGCAGTCGTCGTTTGATAGAGTTAGTATGCCCATATCCGCAAACGATTTGCCTTTGTTTGCCATGGAGTCAGAGGAAGAAGGAACAAGGGAAGGTGAAGATGGAGGAAAGAGAGATTGTAGGTGTAAGAAAAAGTGATCGTGGGGGTTGAGTGTGGAGACGTGTGATGGAGACGGTTGAGTATGGAATGTCAAGAGTTAGAAGATTTGGGAAGATATGTAGTAATGATGATGTTAACTCGTGTAGGTTAAACTAGGGTAACTAAAGCTAGTTAAACTAGGGTTGGCGCTGATACCGCAGGAGAAAACTAATGGGCTCGCACGTTCCAGGCCCACTTTTGAATATTGCATGGGTCATGTACAAGCCCACGTTTGAATGTTATTTAAAAGCCTGCAAAAATCAATGATCAGACCCAGTCCAACTAAAATTAGTCCTAAACGCACCGTTAATACATAAACACAAACTAAGGAGACCTCTCCATCCGATTCGAATCAAATTATGTGTTCTTCATCTTCTTCCTCAATCCTCTGGGCGAGACGAACACTACATATCAGGAAACCTAAATTCACCGAGAGATATAAGGCTCGAGAAAATCACAATAACGCTAAGACAAGATGACAAAGCACTAGGGACATGAACCCTAGGGTTAGCAAACCTCTTTCAAGGGTTCTTTTGCAAATGAAAAGTTCGATGAACACAATAATAGACATGGTCGCCGTAATCGTGTTAGAAAGAGATAGGCGAGGGGAAATACAATGGCGAAGAAGAAACAAGACAAATTTTTTTTGGGAAATTCAATCTACGTCGAATGTGGATGGGGAGCTTCTCTTGGAACTGTGAAGGGGCGTCCCTCCAAGACGAGAGAGGGATCGTGTAATTGGTTAGGGAGACTGGAAATTGGTTTGGGCGGCAGTGGGTCTACCCAATTGGGTTTGGGTCTTAATCCATTTAATTTAATCGGGGCAGTTAGTTGGACTAGGATGAAAACAAACTTAACGCGGAGGAGGCTTTTTGTAATTTGTTTAGTTATTTAGTGGCGTAGTTAGGTTTAACAAACGTGAGCCGTGGAGATTGAAAACGAACGGTTAAGATCGGCCAAGGTACCCGTACCCGCCTTTTGCCCTGGGCACTGTAGAAGTCACCATATATATATATATATATATATATATATATATATGGCGAGTTCTACGGTACCTTTGGTGAAATCCGGGGTACCGCATACCTTGAGTATGCAAACACTATCTAGACCTTTAATTGACCTATCTTTCGGACATGATACTATACTCTAACACTTAAAGATCAAAATCTAGGTGTTAACTCTCCCAATCTTATAATCCAAGATCAATTTAATTAGAAACAATAATCGACGGTTATGATTCATCCAAATATAGGCACAAAAAGGAATGCACCATCTTAGGGTTTATAGATTATGATTTAGATAGTTATGACCTACGTTTCACTCATTAAGGGTTAGGGTATAATATCAGACACAAAAATCCTGGTAATTCGAGGTCTAGATAGAGTTTCCATACTCGAGGTATGCGGTACCCCGGATTTCACCCGGGGTACCATAGAAGCCACCATATATGGCTATAATTGTTTATGGGCTAATAAATAAATTAACCATTAGTTACAACAATTATACTAAACTTGATAAGTAATCTTTGACGGTTCGTTGTTTAGGGTATAAAGTATATTGGTTAGGGTAAATGGTATAAGGTACATATGGTTTAGGGAGTATATGGTTAGGGTATAAGATATTGATGATTTTGACGGTTCTAAGTTTTTTATTAACATATGTTCACTTGAAGTCATTTGATGTCTTTAACGGCGGGAGATCCCTTTTTAATTTATGTTTGTGGTACGTGGTTAGGGTACAAGGTATATGATGTAGAGTATAAGATATATGGTTAGGGTATAGCAATTAGCAAATATCACTTTTTATCTATGTTTTGAAAATCAAAGTATGAATTTCAGTTTTAAATTAACTATACTAGCAAAATCACAACTCATAAGAACATATGGTTAGGGTATAGGGTATGTGGTTAGTGTATAATGTATTGATGGTTTAGGGTATACAATCAACAACACATACTAACTTAATATTGTCGATTGAGGGTAAGGCTAAGTGTATAGGATATATGTTATTGAGTAAGTTATGATTGAAGTCCCAATAATTTTACTAGATTTGATAGTTAATCTTTAATGGTTCAATTTTCAGGATAATTCGAACAATTTTACAAATAACTCGTTTTGCAACAATTTTCTGAAGTTATTTGGCAATGAGTTATTTCGAAATAACTCCTTTTATCACTCTGCTTTTGCCTAATACCACACGCCAAATACCACATTTGCATGGTTATACTAAATGAGATACTTTAATCCAATTACACTACAGAAACAATATTAAAATATCAAATAAATAATTAATGGTATCTTTTGGTTGTAAATATTGATATCACCATTACTATTAGCTAGTGTACTTTACCAATTACGATTAATTACATAACAAGTTTGCAAGTCATACAAATTGATTTAATATTTTGACTCGTTTTTTTCAAAATATTAAGTATGTATATACGTGGTAGAAATAAATTGGTTAAAATAAATATATTGTTTTCAAATAAAGTTTTTCATTCTCAACCTAAATAAAATCATTCACATTTAGTTAAGAAAGTTCAAAATCTGAAATTCACTTAAAATTATGGTTTTTAATTACAAAAATTATGACATGAATTTCTTTAACCAAATTACAAAAAAAGTAAATATAAAATCAGCACAATGCTAATATTTATAATAAATAATAACTAAGACCTTTTGTCTATAATAATAAACTTTATTATTGGAGAAGATGACAGGGTAAGAACTAAGAAGTAATTTTGGGCGGGTGTGATGAAATTTTGGTTTTGGACGGGTGTGATGAAATTTTGGGCGCCCAATTTTTTGCAAGCAGAGGGAAGGGTTTTGTGTTTTTGGTGTAATTGTAGTGGGCGGGTGATGATGAAATTTTGGGCGGCCCAATTTTAGTTGTGGTGGGAAGGAGAGATTTCAAATTTCGATTGTGGTGATTTTGACTAGTTTTTCTTAATTAAGTATATTTACAAGCTAGAAAGAAATTGATTAAAAATCGTGAAATATATTTTAAATTAGTGTAATAAAATGTGTAAGTTGGTAACGAGTAAGTAACTCGATGCGTTGACCCGAACAACCCGCAACCCGCCCGGTCCGAAACCCGATGAACCCGAACCCGATTGAACCCGACCCGACGAACTCGCAACCCGATGAACCCGCAACCTAACTAACCCACAACCCGATTGAACCCAACCCGAACCCGCCGAACCCGCCCGATTGACACCTGTACTTAGAACCCCCAAAATAAGATCCGGTATAGATCCATCTCTCTGCTTCTCCATCATCTCTCTCCTGCTATGTAGATCTAACATGAATTTTAGGCACCGCCATAGCGATTGAGGTGGTGACTGAGCTCCAAAAGGCTGTAAGGGGATGAATTTTTTAAAATTGAAAATGTGATGTGCCGATTACGTGCCATGGAGAGTCTAGGTGAACATTGTCCTCCAGGTGGCAGCCATATTAGCATAACGTCCATTTAACTGAAGGAGTCAATGATGATGTTAAAGTATTTGACGGAAACAGCTAAATTAGTAATAAAAAAAGCTTTTAAAAGTGTGGCTACATTTACGTATTTTTCAAAAAGTGGCTATTAAGTGGATAGTTAAGTTATAGTTATCCAAGTGTATTTTTCCTTTTTTTTTTATCGAAACCTGTAGGCTATCATCCAACAATTACGATGGATCCAAAGGAAATGGTCTGAATCGATCTCAAGAAAAGGAGAGACATCGATGGATTATCCACCCAATCACCTGTCGATCCCAACCAGAAATAGAGTGGGCAAGCCAGTGAGCGGTATCGTTGTTCCATCCGGAGTGAAGCTCTAGGTCACTGAACCATGCGAGAATCTCGAATTAATACATGCCAATCTCTTGGTCATCACACCAAACCCCCCAATTCAGTACGAACTCTTTCCCCTTTAACCAATTTCCATATCTAAGCTTTCCAATCTCTTGGTCATCACACCAATTTGCCTCCTCAAGCCCCATCAAGATATCCTTTGCTTCTGCTTCAATTGGGCGACACACACCCCTATCTTCTTTTTATTTGAGTAGAAATCCGTCTTGCAATGGCAAACCGCGGTCCCCATAGATACCCGACAAACCCTGTGAGCATTGAATACGAGCTTATAGTCCTATCGGTGCCCACCAAGGGGGTAACGCTGAAGTAGCGGCTGCCAAGGGTCAAACTCAAGATCTCCTGAGTATAAACTTGTCCTTTACAACCTCCACCACCCCTTGGTGGTTACACCCCCCCCCCCCCCTTTCTTTCATAGATGTGGCACCGCGAATGTTGCCCTTTCAATCCCTGATGATGCATCCAAACCCAATCCTAGTTTGCTGAAAAACACCAGCATCAGAGCTTAATGTAAATACTCCCTCCGGTGGTGAGGACCACCTGCCATTGCTCACGAGATCAAGCTCTAGGGCTGTGATAATTGAGGAAGGAGTTGAGCCAACGCAAGGCATGGGGATAATCTCATCCTGAACAAGTTTATGATTATTGTTCAAGTTGTTGCACCTTTCCTTCCATAAGTACCACAACACAACACTAAATTTCTGGATTTTCTCTTGTGTGAAGTTCTTCCAAACATCCTTGAACTAGTCGAGGCAAATTTTCCTTCATCAATCTCATACATCTCTTTTTCCTTTCCATGCATGTCATCTGTGTTTGGTCCAACCACACTCACGCGAAGCATGCATATGAGATTCCGGGAGACCACAAAAAGGGCAGACATCATCAATTCATTTTTCAATGTGGCAACTAACCAGTTAGATATTCCTTCCTGCTTTCCAAAGGAAAATGCACACTTTAGGCTAAACATGAGTTTTCCACAATAGATTCCAGAATTTAGAATCCTCTGTTGAAGGGATGTCATCTCGAATATATGGGTTATTACATTTACAAGGCTGAGAGACAAGTAAAATAAATGGGCTATAGTGGAATGACTTCGTCGGTTTCTCCGTAATGACACTATATTATTCGCTTTTGGGAAATGGAAGCGGCCCATGGATAGGGTGGAGCAATTCTAGTGGAATTTGCTTGACATAGTGTGCTTTTTCTATTTCTCTTGTACAATTTACTTCTTGTAGGTACAACAAGGCTATAGTGGCTCCAAAAGTTCTTTTATTGATGTTCAACTAGTTGTCGATTGTCATTTTTAGTTGAGTGATGTACTTTGACTATCTATTTCATCTCACTATCCATGGAAAAAAAACTAAAAATGGTTTTCATATATAATGTAAACGCCTTGTGATCTTTGGCCATTCGGCACTTGAATATGATTTTCAGGAGTAAGTGTTATAGCTTGTTTCCAATACTTCGTGACTTTCGAACCAAGCTTATGCAATCTCATACTCTAGGCCCCTCTGCATTTATTTAAATGCCAATACTATGATGACGATGTTGAAAGTGCGGCATTAAGACCTTAGGGCCCGTTTAGTATTGTTGCTTGTTTTTGTTTTCTGTTGTGTTTTATAAAATCGCAAAAACCGAGGAGAAAAAACATGTTTAGTTAGGTTTTTAATTTTTGTTGTGAAACAAAGTTACACAACCAGGCCCAAATCAGAGAAACAATAAATTATTGCTTTGGATCTGATTCGTACACATATTTAACACGGGATTTCTACTGGTTGTGTCTTTGATTTTATTAAACTAACCCCCAGTTCTAGTTCCCTCACATACGGAAATTCTGTTTATTTTTTTCAACCCTTCCACAAGGCCCCAACCCTACTCGCCATTCAACTGTTCCATTATTTTTTCAGCCACAAAACCTCGCCCGCCGCTGCTCATCCTCTTCCTCTCCGAGAGGAACGACGATCCCTCCGGCATCCCTGTCTTGTCGCCGCACCCGCCGCCAGCGCTAATCCTTCAAGCTCTTCGCCGCATCAGACCCCGTCGTCCGCTCGTTCCGCAGCCGCACCATCTCGCCGCTCGCCTCTCTGTAGGTTTCGTGAAACCGTGAAGTTTGGGACTTCACACTTCCTACAAACAGTTTTTTTCCCGGGAATTCGCTTTTGATCATCGAATGAAGCATGGGATTTAGTTTGGTTCTTTCCTTTAATTTCTGGAACTGGAACGGGGTATGCAGAATTTGGTCCATTCCCTTTACTTCTGCTCTTGGCGGAATTTTCAAGCCCCAGAGAATTGTCAGCAAAGAATGCCACTTGCTCTTGCCAACCGAGGCCCAATTTTTCTGGGATTGTGATTATATTTAGTTACTAATAACAATTGTTGACTAGAAATTAGGTTTCTCAATTGATGTCAATTATGCTAATTTTTGGTTTTTAGTTTTTACTGAGAAGTAACTAAACGCGTTTCTGTTTTTTGTTGTGAGTTTTTATAATTTCTCATATTTACCAACTAAACAGGTTTGAATTATCTATTTTTTTTTCTTGTTGTGGTTGTGCATGTGTTTGCACAACATCAATACAAACACAACAACAAAATAATACTAAACGGGGCCTTACTTTTGATTGATCCATGTTGGTCTTGAGAAATTGACATGTCAGTATTTAGGGTTAATAAAACTCTATCCAAATTGGTGAGAAAGAATCTGGTGGATAGGATCTAGATACATAAATCTAAAGGTGCAAAAATGGAAAGAGCCTCTTAATTAGTTATATTGATAGTTATAGTATTATGAAAAAATAATTTTTATATATTTATTTTATTTTTCCCTCTCCCCAATCACTTTCAAGTAGTCCCCATTGCTTCTTTTTATTACCAATATTTTTCCTTTTACCTTATTTATATTTTTAACAAGATAAATACTATAAATAAATCGTCCCAAAGTATAGAAAACAGGGCAAAAAAGTATACAAACTATACATACCATAAAATAAAAGTGAATGAACAAATAATAAATGTTGTACAAATCATAATACAAATGTGTACATATCATGAAATATACAAACTAATATTACAAGGTATACTGACACGCTAAAACACAACACCTAACAATGGCCAAGTGTAACCAATGAAAGGGACTGCAGTATAGTGGCACAAGTAATAAATATCGAATCCACAGGTCTCTAGAGTTACTATTACTCAGCTTCAGTTCATCATCTAGCAAACTAGATTAAGGACTGATTTACTAAACTACTCTACTTAGTGATGGCAATGGGGCGGTGCGGGGCGGGTACCTCAATTCCCATGCCCCGCCCCACAATATTACGGGTCAGGGCGGGTAAAACCCGCGCGGGTACGGGGCGGGGCGGGTCGACCCACTCTTACATTTTGTTCAAAAAAAAAATATAAGTAAATTTTACTTTTTACAATAAAACGTAGGGAAAAACACTTTAGGAATGAAAAATATTGATAATAGAATGGATAATTGGCCTAACAAGTTGAAAGATCAACTCTAACTAGTTGAAGCAAAGTCAAAATAGGAGAAATATGTATAGATATTGTAAGAAATTGAGATAAAATGATTCTAGAACGGGGCGGGGCGGGTTGGAAGTAGATTCCCATGCCTCGCCCCACGCTACTGCGGGTCGAGTAATACCCGCCACATCGCGGGTCAGGTCGGGTAATACCCGCGGGGCGGGTTGAAATTGCCATCACTAACTCTACTAACTACTCTACTAATTACAAGTTGGGAACTCACTTAGGTGTGATTCCCCCTAGCTCCTCAATTAGGCCCAAGTTGCAAGTACCTTTGGTTAATCTACTGTTGATTAAACTGCGGAAGATCCTAAATTAGCTTGGAATCTCTTAAGCTGACCAAGCCCTCTTAGAGAGAATACCCGGCAGGCGACTAGCCTTCACCGGGATAGACTGCTAAGGCGATTCACACAGATCTCCACTACTAGAATGAATTCCAGTACAAAGTAGTGAATTGATTGACTCTCGCACAACCAATTCACCACTATCAATCAAGGAAGCTCTCTTAACCTAATAAGATTCTATCTATCATAGGTTAAAGCAGAAATCAAGCGAATTTGATCAAGATTCAATTGACTCAATAAATCATGCCTCAATCGATTATAATCAAACAATATATCATCCAAAACTTCATACAATAAAGATCCTAACACATGGAACTAGGGTTCCTCAAAACCTAAGTGAAGGGAGGTTACTCCATAGAGAAGAGAGAGACTGCAGAAATATGATCTAGATCTTCAATCTCCATCTCCAAGCTTGATTCCCGAGATTCAATGGCGAAGAAATCCTCCAAAATAGCTCCTAGAATGTTCCCAAGTTGCTCCCTCTCTCTCTAGGGTTCGTCCCTTGGGTGTTTGACTCGACTCTACTGTCACTCCATGAATTGGCCAAGTGAAACCACTTCCTAAAGCGTAGTATAGCGGGTTTGGGTTTAATTATCAACCCGGGTCCTAGATCTGATGACTACTCAATGAATTCTTGTTATCTAGCAATGAAACTGGCATGCAAGTCTAAACTACCAAACAAACAAAGCAAGTAAACTGTTGTATTCAGGTTAAAGAGGTCACCCGGATATGGTTCCCCCTAGACTGCAGTTAAGCCGGATTGTAATTACCAAGTTCAGTTTCTATGATAGTTATACTGCGGAAGGTTCTTAAACAGCCTGAAGTCTCGACTAAAGGTCTTCAGACCCTCTCAATCTGAGTCTCTAGCGGGCGACTAACCTCCACCGGAGTAAACAGATTGAGGCCCTAAGAACAAAACCTCCACTACCGAAGTGAATCCGGTACAGAATAGTGAGTTGGCTCCTCGACTAAAGTCACCAACTCCCTACCTTCAATCAAGGATGCTCTATCAACCTAGGCAGATATTCTCATTCTAGGTTAAAGCAGAAACAACAGGAATTTGATCAGGATTCAAGTCATTCAATCATTCAAACCTCAATCGAATATAATCAAATCATAGAATCAGTACTTGGGTTCATACAATCAAAGCCTAACATACAAATCTAGGGTTCTCCATACCCAGATGAATGGGAGAACTACTCCATAGAGAAGAAAGCAAAAGCAGAATCAGACACGGAATTCATACTGCGAAGGATGGATTCCTGCTTCTTGACGTTGATTGGCACTTCTCCAAGCTCAAGCTGGCCTCCAATGGTGTTGAAGATCAATCTAGGGCACTTGAGAACTCTTGCTTGTCACTTTCTCTCTCTAGAAGTCGTTCTTTCTCTCAAAAACTCGAATCCTCTTGAGTTGTGGCTGAAAATCTGCTTAAAAGCATCAGTGGCCAAAGCACGGTCGAGGGCACGGCCGTGCTTTGCCTGACTCCGCCCGTGCCTCGGCCAGGGCTTAATTACACGGCCAACAGCTGGTGGAAACACGGTCGTGCTTCGCGTTGGACACGGCCGTGCTTTGACTGAACACGGCCGTGCTTCAGTGCCCGTGTTTGCAGCTGAATTGGCCAAGCTGAATTTGTTCTCGGCATAAAAAGCACGGCCAGCAGTACACGGCCGTGTAATGCCTTAGGCTGCCCGTGTTTTGGCTCCAGCTCACCGAAATGACTTCCGAATGCCCCGAAACTCGCGCTTAGCCTTCCCTTTGACACCTGGGACCTGAAACATGACAAAATAGCACAACCCGGCGTAAAATAGGCCACAACACACGACTATGCCCCTCAAACGGATAAGAACTAGGGGCGCAAACATGTGCAATTACATCGTTATCAGTGTTTGGGAACCAAAACCCAGCTCCAAAATCACCTCTAGGATGTGTTCTTTGCACTTTCTCTCTCTAGGACTCTGTATTCTGGGCGAATTACGGGCTGAATTACGGTCGTAATCATGGTATGCACCGTTAATCGCTCAAAACGCGCGTTTTACTTAACTTTGAGGAAGGGAATTACGGTCGTAATTACCCAATTACTGCCAGTAATCATGGAATTATGAACGTAGTTACTTTGACTCTTACTCGTAATTGTCTTTGCGACAGGAATTCTGAAGAATTAGGCTCGACATTGCATTTACAGGCAAGACAAGAGCAATTACGACCGTAATTGGTCAGGGTCTGCCCGTAATTCTTCCTCCGTCCTTGTTTAATGCTTCGTTTCTCCCTCGTCCGGACTCCAAATCAGTCGCCGTTTGATCCCAGACGCTCGTAGTCTCGTCCTCTTTCTTTTCATGACAAAATTCCATGATTATTTTTCCATAAGATGAGGTATAAGTCCATTATTCCTCAGGTCATGCTCGTGTTTCTTCTCCCTAATTGCCAAATGATCTCCAATTGACTTGAAACTTGCGCCTATGCTTCACTTTATGTGCTAGGACCTGAAATATGACAAAGGAACACAACCTAGCGTAAAATAGGCCAAAGGCGCGACAATTAAAGCTCAAACAGTCAAGAAACAAAGGGGAAAACATGTGCAAATATCGAGTCATCAAATCCCCCCACACTTAACTGTTTGCTTGTCCCCAAGCAAACCAAGTCAGATACAAGGTAATCTCAACACATTTCAATCATGAAACCCTTGGGGACATATCTTATAGGCACGAAACACAGGAATCATACTAGCTTTTAGACATCAACATATGAACAACTTCAACAGCAACCTGGACGACCACCACAGAGGACATTCGAGTGCAGCAAAATCGGTAAAGGAAGAGTCTCCCTTCTGTTCACCAACCAACCTAGACTTGACTCGACCACTTATTCAAGACATTCAGCTCATGCATAAAACTCAAGACATCAGAATCAAGATCCAGCCATCTAGGTCCTCACCAGGGTAAAGAGTGCAAAGAACAAGGAAATGAATCGTTCAATCTCGACCAGTGGGGTCAGGACAATTTGATGCGAAAAATGTGCATACTTATTATCTCAATCCCTAACGTCTCTTCACCATGACGGCCACTCTAAATGTAAGAGTTCACAAAAATGGGTGTCATCACTAACTAATCCGAAGGTCTTAGACACAGGTTCAAATGACTGGCTAGGGTCTTGGACATGGGGAAAAGGCCTTTTAGGTGGTGGAAGTATTCATAGCACAAGGTTCCACAGTTCCAAACCCAACACAATCACAGCCAATCAAACCAGCAACTTTCTTTCTGCTATTCTGCATTACTCGAGTTCTTTAGAGCACAAGAGCGAAGGAGGTCACATAAATGCTAGTATTTCCAAGCCAGACTACTAAGAAACACTACTTAATGGGCACTATTCAGAATTTTGTGGTGGTGGCTCTCTTTTGCTTTCATTCATTTTTTTTTCTTTTCTTTTCTTTTTTCATTTCTTGAGAGAACCACCACTTATGCACATTTTTCAAACACATGCCCAACTTTTTAAGAACTACCTCCAACCCTCACATTATATTTAGCAGAAACAATAGAGAACATGTAAAAACCACTCTGTGGAACCTTCTAAGAGATGCAAAAGGGTGATTTTTCATTGTAGACCGAAAGAAAGGATAACACACGGCTCAAAGGGGCTGACTATGGGGTATGACACACCAGGACAATCAATTTGGTCGTGGGCTAATCCTATGCCTCCATCATCTTAGCTAATAACAACGTGAATGCAACAAATCATGGAAGAGGGAACTATCGCACAAGAAAGAAACGAGCAGGCTCAAATCTCACATGGCTACCTATATGCTCTATCTCTCATTCTGATTCCCTGAACTAGATGCATAAAAGACTGTCAAGAACAAGTGATAAATCCAAGTCACAGTTGGTAAACAAACAGTTAAAAAACTGAACTCCTACACAATTCTATTGCACGTCTCAATCATCATTATAGGTCTTCCTAGTCACAATCCAGTTGTCATGCATTAATTCGAAAGCCATTAGATTCACCAATTAAACCCACAGTACCAATATGATCATGCAAACATCAGTACTTGGAGCCCTCAAATCTCGAAATTTGGACAGTGGACTAGGATCCAAGCACGCACATACAGCCAAACATTCACACACATACATAATCGAACATCCCCCCACACTTAAGCACGACATTGTCCTCAATGGATGAAAGATAAGGAGGGTAGAACGAAGTTACCAGATCAAGGGTGAATGATGGTGGACGAGGAAGGCGGTGCATTCCAGGAGGAGAGAGTAGTCAGAACACAAATACCACATAAAATCTCACAAAGGTTGAGTTATTGATTCTAAAATCTAATAACAAAACTGACTCAACCGAGGATAAATAGAGAAAGAAATGCAAACCAACTGGTTGGGTTGCCTCCCAACAAGCGCTTCTTTCACGTCGTGAGCCGGACGATGGCTCCTAAGTTTCGGTCAACCCCAAAACCTCCTTAAATTTGAGGTTCTCGTTGATGAGGTGGAGTCTCAAGTCACTAGCATGTGGTATGACAGGCGATGGAAGCTCGTGCACTTGATGCGGATGAAGTCTCCACCCTCGAGACCTCTTCTTCTCTTCTTTCGTCTCATTGCCCCAAACCAGATATGACAACATCGATTGACCACCATCGCGTCCACCAAGAGGGACCGATGTCGATGTGGCCTTAGTTTGGCAAAGAGACACTGCAAATGGGTCCTTGCTAAGAAATTCCTCGAAGTTTGGTGGAGATATCACATGTAACTCATTGCCGGTGCAGGCCTCTTCCACCCTAACTCCGTCCTCGACCTGGACGCCAATTGCTTATTAAACCCCCCTTTCTTCTTCATGTGGTATCACCCCTGTGAAATGATCAAGAACTCCTTCTGCTTCACTTTCGTCATCCTCCACAACTTCTTTCTGCACCCTTTCTTGCTCTTCTTCTTCTAGCACGGATTGGAGAGCAAGCTGCCAAGCAATTTCTTTCATGAGATCTTCTTGCATCTCCTCACTCATGCCCGCCTCTTCAAAGCTCTGTTTGGGATGTGGGAAGGTGTGGTCGGCTATGACAGGACATTCCTGATCATGATCATCACGGGAGCTCTCCGTGACAACTTCAGTGTGCTCCACAATGTCCTTGTAGCCTTCTTCTTCCTCCTTCTCTTCTATTATGGTAGGAGAAGGGTGATCTGGAGCAGGTTGTGCACAAGATCTCTCAAGATCATCGACGGTCTTCTTAAGGCTCAAGAGGATCTCCTCTATTTCACGATAGGCCTGGACACAATGATCCATTCTGGAGCATGATCTCTCACTGTTTCGAGCAAACTGCTCCATGAGAAGCCTCAATTCATAGTTTGGATCTGGCTGTGCAGTGTAGCATGGCTCTGCAGAATGGCCCGTGAAGGCCGCCATGGGTAACTCCAGCTCGATGGCCCTTCTGGTTGTGGGAGAAATTCTTCTTGATAATGAGGTTTTTCTTGATATTCCCAGGGGTCTGATTGTTCTCCGTAGTAAGGGGGTTGGTACTAGAACTCGAATCCATAGTCTTCTCCTCCTTGATTGCTCCAGGGAGTCTCGGGGTAATACCACTCGGACGGTGGTGGATACCCCCAATGGTTGGAGAAGACATGAGGATCCATGATTCAGATCTGCACCAAAAAAAACAAAAACACCCAAGTGAAAAGCAAGGGTGGAAAAGAAAAGAAAAACGCTAAAGTAACAAACTTCTGCCTTTCCTAATAATCTAGAAAGTCCCCGGCAACGACGCCAAAAACTTGACACGCTAAACACAACACCTAACAATTGCCAAGTGTAACCAATGAAAGGGATTGCAGTATAGTGGCACAAGTAATAAATATCGAATCCACGGGCTCTAGAGTTACTATTACTCAGATTCATTTCATTATCTAGCAAACTAGGTTAAGGACTGATTTACTAAACTACTCTACTAACTACTCTACTAATTACAAGTAGGGAACTCACTTAGCTGTGATTACCCCTAGCTCCTCAATTAGGCCCAAGTTGCAATTACCTTTGGTTAATATACCGTTGATTAAACTGCGGAAGATCCTAAATTAGCTTGGAATCTCTTAAACTGACCAAGCCCTCTTAGACAGAATACCCGGCAGGCGACTAGCCTTCACCGGGATAGACTGCTAAGGCGATTCACACATATCTCCACTACTAGAATGAATTCCAGTACAAAGTAGTGAATTAATTGACTCTCGCACAACCAATTCACCACTATCAATCAAGGAAGCTCTCTTAACCTAATCAGATTCTATCTATCATAGGTTAAAACGAAAATCAAGAGAATTTGATCAAGATTCAATTGACTCAATAAATCATGCCTCAATCGATTATAATCAAACAATATAGCATCCAAAACTTCATACAATAAAGATCCTAACACTTGGAACTACGGTTCCTCAAAACCTAAGTGAAGGGAAGTTGCTCCATAGAGAAGAGAGAGACTACAGAAATCTGATCTAGATCTTCAATCTCCATCTCCAAGCTTGATTCCCGAGCTTCAATGGCGAAGAAATCCTCAGCTCCAAGAATTTTCCCACGTTGCTCTCTCTCTCTAGGGTTCTTCCCTTGGGTGTTTGGGAACCAAAACCCAGCTCCAAAATCACCTCTAGGATGTGTTCTTTGCACTTTCTCTCTCTAGGGATCTGTTTTTTCTCCAAAAAGTCGATTCCCTCTTCTTTGGCTCGAATCTGCCTAAAAACCCGATTCTGGGCGAATTACGGGCTGAATTACGGTCGTAATCATGGTATTCCCGTAAATCGCCCAAAACGCGCGTTTTACTTAACTCTGAGGAACGGAATTACGGTCGTAATTACCCAATTGCTGCCAGTAATTATGGAATTACGACCGTAGTTACTTTGACTCTTGCTCGTAATTGTCTCTGCGACAGGAATTCTGAAGAATTAGGCTCGACATTGCATTTACGGACAAGACAGGAGCAATTACGACCGTAATTGGTCAGGGTCTGCCCGTAATTAATCCTCCGCCCTTGTTTAATGCTTCGTTTCTCCCTCGTCCGGACTCCAAATCAGTCGCCGTTTGATCCCAGACGCTCGTAGTCTCGTCCTCTTTCTTTTCATGACAAAAATCCATGATTATTTGTCCATAATATGAGGTAGAATTCCATTATTCCTCAGGTCATGCTCGTGTTTCTTCTCCCGAATTGCCAAATGATCTCCAATTGACTTGAAACTTGCGCCTATGCTTCACTTTATGTGCTAGGACCTGAAATGTGACAAAGGAACACAACATAGCGTAAAATAGGACAAAGACGCGATAATTAAAGCTCAAACAGTCAAGAAACAAAGGGGAAAACATATGAAAATATCGAGTCATCAAATCCCCCCACACTTAACCGTTTGCTTGTCCCCAAGTAAACCAAGTCAGATACAAGGTAAGCTCAACACATTTCAATCATGAAACCCTTGGGGACATATCATATAGGCCTGAAACACAGGAATCATACTAGCTTTTAGACTTCAACACATGAACAACTTCAACAGCAACCTGGACGACCACCATAGAGGACATTCGAGTGCAGCAAAATCAGGTAAAGGAAGAGTCTCCCTTCTGTTCACCAACCAACCTAGACTTGACTCAACCACTTATTCAAGACAGTCAGCTCATGCATAAAACTCAAGACATCTGAATCAAGACCGAGCCATCTAGGTCCTCACTGGGGTAAAGAGTGTAAAGAACAAGGAAATGAATCGTTCAATCTCGACCAGTGGGGTCAGGACAATTTGATGCGAAAAATGGGCATACTTATTCTCTCAATCCCTAACGTCTCTTAACCATGACGGCCACCTCTAAATGTTTGAGTTCACAAAAATGGGTGTCATCACTAACTAATTCGGAGGTCTTAGACACAGGTTCAAATGACTGGCTAGGGTCTTGGACATGGGGAAAATGCCTTTTAGGTGGTGGAAGTATTCATAGCACAAGGTTCCACAGTTCCAAACCCAACACAATCACAGCAATTCAAACCAGCAACTTTCTTTCTGCTATTCTGCATTACTCGAGTTCTTTAGAGCACAAGAGCGAAGGAGGTCACATAAATGCTAGTATTTCCAAGCCAGAATACTAAGAAACACTACTTAATGGGCACTATTCAGAATTTTGTGGTGGTGGCTCTCTTTTGCTTTCATTCATTTTTTTTCTTTTCTTTTTTCATTTCTTGAGAGAACCACCACCTATGCACATTTTTCAAACACATGACCAACCTTTTAAGAACTACCTCCAACCCTCACATTATATTTAGCAGAAACAACAGAGAACATGTAAAAACCACTCTATGGAACCTTCTATGAGATGCAAAAGGGTGATTTTTCATTGTAGACCGAAAGAAAG